AGGTGATTTTTTTTTTTTTTTACTGGTTCTCTCGTATTTGTTTTCATTCTATCTGCTATGAGAATTTAGTTTTAAGAAAGAAAGAAAAAGGAAAAAAGCCCAAATAATTATAATACAAATTGGCCAGAACTTGGCTAAAACTAAATCATGTGACCTCAGGGTTTCCAACATGCAAGGGACACCAATCCATGCGCGAAATGACACAACAAATACCACGATATTATGTGATGTTTTATCAGAGCAGCCTCTCTAAACGCTTACCAAAGTGTTTGGGCTCCTTACTACCAGTCGAAACCAGCAACCAGAAAACTGCCAACCCGGCCCCCTCATAATGAAAAGGCACAGCCATTGGTCAATCAAATCACCAAAAAGTTAAGGCAGTTAAATCATAGTCAACGCCAAGGAAGAAAAGGACTGGTAAACCCTAACCCTAAACAGTTAACAAAAGATAATAACCGACTCCTGTTCAATGGACATGGAAAGGGCGATAAACGAGCCTATCTACTCTTATTAAACTGTTTACAGCACAGGGAGATTTTATGGTGATGTCATATCTAGGAAGCTTACCGAATAAGACTCTAAACCCCTTCTGATCATTACTGAATTGTTAATATCACTCCGAACGTTAACCCAGTTGAACTGAAAGGAATATTAACATAAACTCATACCATATGATCAAGTTAAAATAATTGAGAATTTAAGACTTAAATATACATACAGACACAACACACACGCATACTTATACACTGATCATCGGAATAACGACTTAGTTGACAAATGGACCACTGATTTTTAATATCTATATGATTTATGTTCGAATGAATATAAGAATTCTATCAATAAATATGAAAAGAATATTTATATATGAGAGTAGGCTGAACAGTTCATAGTCTAACTACGAAGGGGTGATGCTAGAGTTGTGAAACCTTGACTCTTCTTATTAATAACTGCAACCACCACCACCCAGGAAAACATTGATTGTTTTAACAACATGGTGATAGATGATAGGCGATTGTCTATAAATCAAATAGCCAATGGATATCCTGCATGAGAGTTGAAAATATTCTGCACAATAAACATGGCATGACGAAGATTTCTGTTCGGTGTTTTCCAAGTCTTCAGACACATGATCAAAAGAGCACCAGGCTGATCCCATTCCGAGAAAATTTGACATTGTTTGAGGCAGCTCCAGCTGGTTTCCTGGAACGTTTCCGAAACCAAAATGAATGTTGGGTTCATTACCTTTGAGCGAGAGACAGAGACAATCCATGCAGTGGAAACATCCCTCTTTGCCTGCTCCAAAGAAGGCCAAGGTCTTTCATTTATATGGAAAGTGATAGCCTCAATTTTTGGAATGCAAAAGGCATTGTGTTTATTGACTATGTTCAAAAGGGCCACGCCATCAATGGCAAGCACCATGTCAACTATGCCGAAAGTCTGTCAAGACCAAATATTGCACCGTCACACAAGACCTTATTTCAATGCACCGTCACACAAGACCTTAGTTTCAAGACCTTAGTTTTTGTATTAACGCAGTTTTCCTGGAGAACACCTGTGTTAGTACAAAAAGATCTCACTTTAGCACAAATAACCTTGGCGAAGGGATATATCCATTTCTTTTATTTGTATTGTTTTGGTTAAACGTCAAGGAAGACTGGGCTCTCTAGCTTTGGATAGCATTCAGCCTAGGAGAAAGAATATTCTGAATTCAAAATTGTGAATACAGCAGGAAAGCACTCCACTATCTTTCCAAAGAAGTTATGTCAATTCACAGATAAGAAAGGAAATGAATATGCGAGGAACTAAGATCGACTACATCCTGGAATGAAAATAAATAGAATTAATCACTTATTCTACATAGATGACCTCAAAGTTTGCCAAAGACGACAAGAAATTAAAAGGTCTGCTCAGTACTGTAAAATGTTTTAGTGATTATGTCGGTATGGGCCTCCGGTAAGATTAATGTGCAGAAGTAACATTCAAGAAGGGGAATTATCGAAACACAATCAGTTGCTCTCAATTTGGTCACAAAAATTAAGATACTGGAGCAAGAAGAAGCCTATAAATACTCCGGAGTCATCGAAGAAGATGGGATGCAGCATACTAAATGAAGGAGAAATTAGACAAGAACACTACAGGTTTTTGCGTCCGGTGTTAAACATCGATTTGAATTCTCAAAACAGAATATTAGCCATAAACACTGACTTTACCTGTGGTGTTATACACTTTCAATATCCTTAACTGGACTACAGCTGATATTAAGCGAATGGATGTCAAAACGAGAAAGCTATCGCATGAATCATCATCAGGACGATGTTGATCTTCTCTGTGTGTTCAGATCCGAAGGAGGATGAGAATTAGTTCAACTAGAACTGTCTTACAAAACAACAACTGGCTTTCAAAGGTACCTAGAAAATACAGAATACTGGAATATAATCTGTGTCAAAGAAGATCAAAGAATTAATAATCTTTCTGTTTAAAATAGCCGAGAAGCACTCTT